TCCACCCTTTGAGGGAAATGTCATGTACTGCTCACAGGGAATGCAGGGTCTGAGAATGGCTACATGTGAATGTTTGTGCCTGGGAAAGTTGAAGAGATAACCTTATGTAGGCAAAGTAGGATTCTCTTGACTCAGTTTCCCCATTGTGTTATTTCCTTTCTGAATAAGAAGTTTTCCCACTTGGAAAATTCTGAGCCTGGCAACAATACCCTATGAACAATGTGGAACTTTGCCACAGGATTGGCTTCTAATTACGACATTTTGTTGTTGTTCAGTTGTTTGTCAGTTGTGTTCAACTTTTCGTTTCCCCATTTGGGGTTTTCTTGGCAAAGATGCTGGAGTGGTTTGCCATTTCCTTTTCCAAACTAAGACATTTACCTGGAATCAGAGATAAGGGACTTATTCCCCTGTTATGCTTGTATCAGGTCAGTCTATGCCCTTGAAGGAACAGTCTTGATATTGTTATAACTGTGTCCCTCCTTTTTTCTTTCATAGCAAATTTCTGTAATTAGGACAGGTGAATTTTAAAGTTTTTGTTGTTGCAATACTAAAACATCTATGAGTTACTATAATAGTATGCAGGTATGAAAGATATTACTGTTTTTATCTGAATTTGTGGTCAACTCCATATCCTGAGCAGTTAGATAATTAAGTTCTTATGATTGTCATCCTGTTACTGATAGTTATATATTCACATATAAGATTAGGTCCTTGAAGTATCTTATTCTTTTATATATATATATATCCTCAAAAGAGGGGGATAGGATAGTAATGTAAAAGTTTTAAATTTATTGAAGTAGTAAAGTTCACTTTGAGAAACCAATAAGATAGATAGATACAGATGACATATATAGGCTTTGAGTATGTTTTAGTATGTTCTGAAAACAGGATTAAGGATGTTACATATAAAATTGCATTAATAATTATAAAGAAATTTTAAAATCATGTTTTTTTCAGTTTTGAAGTCTTTGTCTGATAATAATAAGAAATAGAAAGGCTTATTTTACAAGTTAGGGTTCAAGATAGAGCAAGTGAAATTCTCCTAAATTTCAGGTGAATTATGGGTTCCTAATTTGACATTATTCTTATAGCTCTGTTGTTAATAGGATCAGGTCCATAAAGTTTGAACTGGTTTTCATCACATGAACTAATTACTAGACAACCAAATTTACAAAACTGTCTTAAGTCCTTATAGCTGACAGATTTTAGCCATGTTATAGGGAATCTGCAAGGGTCTTGAAACCAGGGAAGTGAATCTGCTAGACACAGAGGTTCCCAAAGTAGGCGATACCACCCCCTGGAAGGTGCTGGAACGATTGGTGGGGGGCAGTAGTGGTCTGGAGTGCAATTGGGGAGGGGAATTGAATAAAAATAAGGGGGTGGAGGAAGTATAAGGAAAGAAGAGAAGAGAAGAAAATTTTGAAAAACCATTCATACATGTTTCATCCGTTGTGTAACAGAGTTAAAGTTGTAGTGATTACACTATTTTTCAAATAAAACACAAAATGCAAGGTATAACCAATCAGTGGTCAAGGCCACTGACATGTCTTAGCAAGCAAGTGTTGGCAGGGGAGTGTGTCACACATTGTCGGGAAGTCCAGCATGCATTGACAGGATTATATGCATGTGATGACTAGTTTACAATATACTATATGGCTACATAGCTCCATATTGCGTCATCAACATTTTAATGCAGGAAAAAACCCACAAATTTACAATAAATTGTTAAATTTAAGATGCATCATTTAAAAAATACATATATATATACATGCATATATATATATATATATATATATATTGTGAAATGACGCAAATTCTTTTTAAACTGTTAAAATGTTAAAGTAGATTTCCGGGGAACGCTGAGTAATTTTTTTTTAAAAGGGGTCAGTAGGCCAAGTAAGTTTGGGAACCTCTGTGCTAGAGGAACCCCTTCCAGAGCTGCCCTGAGAATGAGGCTTATTCCAGAATTTCCAAGGTAAGATGTTTTCAGGGATCAGGTGACTACATGAAATATCTGAGACTCAAGATGAAAAATGCTAATTAAATGGATGTTGGGAGTGGGTAACCATGAGCAAGGAGACTTGATGTTATTTAATACTGATGATCATTACTAGATTACTTTAGCTTTAATGATTGTCTAGGGATCAGAGCCATCCCTCCTGCAACTTTTCTTGTATTTATATTAACCTCACCTGACCAAAATTGACTTATGGAATAATAATGTTAACAGGTATATACCTCAGGTAGAAGGCAAAGGGATGTTTGAGTTTCCTAAAATTATTTAGTTATTTCCCTAGTCAACTGTATAAGGAAGGCTTTCTCTAACTCTAGTTTTGATATGTAAGTCTTATCTCTCAGTTAGTCCATTGTGAATCCTCTCAATGTAGTTTAATTTGTAACATGACTTAATTTACCTAAAAAATCTGTTTAGTGAGATTGTCTCCTTAAGGGATATATGAGATTATGACTGCTTAACTAAGTTTGTCCAACTTTTATGACATTGAAGGAATCATGGGATTATGATTTTTGTGATACATGTGGCCACAGTGTACTTGTTTCCTGGTGTAAACTTAAATCTCTGAGTTACAGTCCCTGAGACTTACTCAAATTGATCCCTCTGTGAGACATTGGGAAAAGTTTGTTACCAATATGGCCCCTATCCCCTCCTTTAAAGAATTCTATCAAGCTCTAGATGAGATAGGTAGTGAGGAGGATGCCACTGAGTTGGGTTTTCATGAACTCCATTTGAAATCATAATCCAGGGGCAGCTAGGTGGCACAGTGTATAGAGCACTAGCCCTGGAGTCAGGAGTATCTGAGTTCAAATCTAGCCTCAGACACTTACTAGCTGTGTTGACCCTGGGCAAGTACTTAACCCTGATTGCCTACAAAAAGAAAAAGAAAGAAATCATAACCCAGCTTTCTGCTTCTGTAATTATGTTTCTCATAGTATGAGAATTTTGGGCTTTAATAAACTCAAGAGAGGAAAATTATGGAAAATGCTTTATTATGTTATTTGGAAAATGTGTTATTATATTGTTTAAATTTAAGTTTTTGTGACTAGTGATTGTTTGAAACTAGAATGTCACCCTGATCTCAGTAACTCTCCAGGATTTGTATTTCCCCCATTTCCTGGATATACCCAAAACATTTGTATTTTGGATCCACTCAGGTCTTGTTTTGGTTTTACCCAAGCTTGTGTTTTGGCTTCGTCCAATTTTTGTTGAATGTTCACATTTACTGATAGTCATTTCAATCTATCTTACTTTTAAGTTGGTGGGTTTGTTTGTGGGCAACCCTTATTTAAATCCTATATATAGGGGCAGCTAGGTGGCGCAGTGGATAGAGCACTGGCCCTGAAGTCAGGAGAACCTGAGTTCAAATCCCGCCTCAGACCAAACACTTGTCACATACTAGCTGTGTGACCTTGGGCAAGTAACTTAACCCCGATTGCCTCACTTAAAAAACAAATAAATCCTATATATAATGTAAACTTTGCAGACCCTAGACAAGATGGAGTCACACTTTTCTAGCTCACTCTCCTGTACCAAATGACCCAATAAATTTCTTTCTGAAACTATTTCAGATTTGGGGGTTTGTTCTTGCTAAAGACAATCTCTACCTCCTGGCTTCCCTGGCTTCTTTCAAGTCCCAGTTAAAATCCTACATTCTAAGAACCTACAGCTGGTTCTTAGAGATCAGATAATCCAACCCTCATTTTATAACATTGAAAGGATAAGTGATTTGCTCAAGACATCTCAAGTCAATAATCACAACAGATAGACTTTTTTCTTGTCTCTGTCTCCAGACCTTCCTTTTCTTCCCTTTTTCTTCCTCTGCTTAGTGAAGTGGAGAGTTGGATTTGCAGTCAGAGGACCTAGGTTCAAATTCCAACTTACTATATGTTTGATCTTTTAGACAAGTCACCTCTCTGGTACTCAGTTTCTTCAGCTGTAAAATGAGGAAGTGGTACTAAAATGACCTTGAAGGTCTCTTTCAGCTCTAAATATGATGCCATGTCCTGGTCAAATTACATCTGATAGTGTTAAGTACTATGCTTCACATTTTTGACCCATCCAGAGAAGGCAACTAGAGTTGAGAAGGATCATGAAATCATACAAGGATGTAACAAAGGAAATAAACTAATCACTCTCTTTAAATAAACGAACGATTGTCCTATCGAAGAGGTATACTTACTCTGCTTGAGTTCCAAAAGAAAAAACTAGGACAAATTAGTGGAAGTCACCATGATAAGGAAACAGATTTCAGCCCAGTATAACAACTTCCTGAGAAAGTTGTCCAAAAAAAAAAAAAAAATGGACTTGGTTGCCTCAGGAGATAGTGAATTTCCTGACGTCGGAAGTCTTTTAAAAAGCTGGATAATTTTATGCCAGGGATGTTACAAGGGGTATTTTGCTAAAGGCATGTGTTGGAGTAGATGATAGGTCAGCCTAAGGGTTTCCTGTTAGGATCGTAGGGGATGAGTGAATCTGGGGATCTGAGAGAGGAGGAAAGGACCTGGGTTGGGGGAGAAAACAGTAGGGGCTGAGTTGGGCAGAGAAGCACCAGAAATTAGTGTAGCAATCACTGTCTTTGTTTGACATTTATTAAGCATGTGCTTGGTTTCCTATTGAGCCTGCAAAAGATGCAGTTACAGTTACCCCTTCCACATCGAAGGGAGTTGGGGCATGGCTGGAAAATCCAAGTAAAAATTTTTGGCCCACCCTTTGTGAAGTCTGATTTTTTTCTTTTTCTTTTATGGGGTATATACAGTACCTTATTGTAAAATTGGGGGTAAGTATTAAATCATAGCCTGTCCACTGGCCTTTGCATGTTGTCTGCAGCTTCCACAAAACTCCCCAAAAATTCTCATTTAATTTCTTATGCCGACCCTCGATATACCAAAACCACAATCAGGAAAGTTGCGTTGTAGAAGGGATAACTGTACTGTCTTCAGGGAGCTTCCACTTTCTCAACTTAAAAAAATCTCAGTTCTCCAAATCCTTTTTCAAAAGTGTTTATAACAAATAGTTTTTATAAATAAGGGATTGGATTCGGGATTTGGGGAACTGTCCCTAATCCCCCAGGAATGAATGCCAGATACTGCAGTGGGAGAGTATTCTGAATCACCCAGGACTGTGGCTTTTCACTCTTTCCACAATAACCTCCTCCCCCTTTTTTTCTCACAGTCTAAGGCACTAAATGAAGAGAAATGGTTCGGTGAATAAGGATAAAGGAAGGATATCAGTCCTAGCCAAGTAAACTGGGCTGACTCCAGCCTCAGACTGGAAGGGGAAAACCAGCCAAAAGAGACAGGTGTGGCTGTCTCTGAATTCCAGGATTAAGCTAATCCCACCATGAGGAGCCTCACCCCTATTCCACAGGCCTAGAAGTACTTCCCAAACCTGTCTAAGGGCTTTCCTTCAGCCCCACCTTCCTCTGGTTTCTGCCTTTTCTCCCTAAGGTGTGGGTCCCCCACCCTGGTTTTAGCTTCTCCAAGTGAGGTCTCCCAAACTGACCGAATCCCCAGGGACCCTTCTTACTCCTCCTCCATCTTCTCTCGCACTTCAGCAGGCAGTCCCTCATACAGGGCCTCCTCCACCAGCAACCCTGATTTTTTGAGCCCCCCACAATTGCCAAGTTCTTCAGGTAAAGCCTCTAGGCGGTTACCCTTGAGTTCCAGCCGGCTGAGGGTTTGTAGTGTGGCCACTCGAGGGGAGAGCTGGTTTAGATGATTGTAACCCAGCAACAGCGTCCTCAGCTTCTGGCAGAAGAAGAGTTCATCTGGGAGTGCCTCCAGGGCATTGTAGGAAACTGCAAGGTGCTGCAAGTTTTGGAGGATGCTGACCTCTTGGGGCAAGGAGCGTAAGCCGTTGTGAGAAACGTCAAGCAGGCGGAGGTTGGTGCAGAAACAGATCTGGGGCGGCAGGGTCTCCAGCTTGTTGTGACTGAGGTACAACTGCTCCAGACCCTTGAGTTTGCGAATGTGTTCTGGGACATAGGCAATCTGGTTGTGCCACAACTTGAGGGTGACCAGCTTGCGACAGTGCTGAAAGCTCAGGATCTCCTCGATGGAGCGGAGGTGATTATCCTTCAGGTCTAACTCCTGTAGCGCGGTCAAGCTAAAGACGGCGTGGGGTATCCTCTCCAGCCCACAGCCCACCAGCTCCAGCTCCCGCAGCGCCGTTAGCTTCTTTAACCCGTTGAGGGTCAGTAGCCGTGCCCCATCATTGTGAAGGCTGAGCCGCTGCAGGTGACCAGCCACATCCGTCACACTGGGGGGCACTTTGCCTGCATTGCTTCTCAGGGAGAGGCTCTTGAGGAGCTTCAGCTCTTTGAGGCTCTCCAGGTTAGCCGCCCGGCTAAGCTCTGCTGGGAAAAGACCCTCAAGATGGAGCTCTTCCAGGCTCCGGAGCCCAAACACCCACAGGGGCACTTCACGCAGCTCCTCACACTTCACCCGTACCACCTTGAGTCGGTCCCTCAAGAAAACAAAGGAGGAGAAGGGTAGTTTGGCAGGGGAGTGGAGGAGGCTGAGCTCTTCCAGGTGGACCAGCTGGGAGAGGGTTGGAGGAAAGGTGATGTCACAGATGGCCTCCAGCTTGAGAACCTCTATCTCGCTCAGCTCAAATACTGTGTCAGGTAGACCAGGCAGCATGCAGAGTGCCAGCTCTAGCTGCCCTCGCCCATTGCGCTGAAGCTTCTGGCGCAGTTTCTCTGGTGTCCATTCATGGTTGAGGTTGAGTTGCTTGAGCCGGCTTTCGCTGACCTCAGAGAGGAAGACAGCGAAGCGTTTAGAATAAAGCGAGTCATATTGGTCAATGAGGTGGAGCATGAAGGCAAAGTCGTTCTTGACGTCTGGGATGTCACCCATTCCTGTCTCCTCTCTCACCGAACAGAAAGAATACTCCTTGAGGGGCCGGTGGAAGAGCCAGTAGAGTGTATAGAGGCAGGTGAGACCATAGACACATACAAAGGAGATGTAGCAGAAGGCCAGTTTGGCAAAGAGATGAGCCTTTGTGTGGTTACAACAGAAGTTGGCATAACCTGTGACTTCTGCCGTCTCCACCTGGCAGGCCACCAGGAAGCTAATCTTCTCCACATAGATGACGTTATAGATCAGAATGGCCAGAAACTTGCACACCTTGAGCACTGTCTGACGGATGTACATGGTATATAAGATGTCACCCTCTTCCACATGCACACGGAACTTCTTAACCTTCTCAAACAGGGCCTTGGCCTGCTCCCCCTCTTTTTTGTCCAACAGGGTGACAGCTGGTGGCTCCATCACCACCTTCTCTGGCTCTGTCAGCACCTTCTCTGACTCACCTGTCTTTCCTGACCCAACTATGGCTGTGGCTGTTAGCCGTCCTGAGGTACCTTTGTGGTTCTCACCAGAAACTTCTGACAGGGCCCGAGTTGTCCATGGTGAGTCAAAGCATTTGCCCAGGATAGAAATGAAGTGCTCAATCTTGGAACTGGTTCCAGGGAATTTGAACCAGAAGCTTGTGCAGACCATGAAGATGAGCGTATGGATGACAACCAGGTAGGGAAAGTACTTGGCATACCAGTGGAGTGCAGTCTCATAGCAGAGCTGGTTGATGAAGCTATATTGTTGTAAGTCCAGGTTGTTCTTGAGGCCACTGAGCTCCCGAAGGTCCTCTGTATCCCCAGAGATTCCCCGGGGCAGCTCCCCACATGGGGTCTCTGATAGATTCTCCCGGGGTACATGGCTAGGCAGACAGATGATCTTGTCCTGAGTCACCTGGGGATAGGGGAGATAGGAAAAGAAAGGATAAAAATGCCTAGAGAGGCTGATAGGAAGAGCCTGGCACGGTGGCCAGAACTACTCTGAGCCTCAGTTTTTCATACTGTAAATATAGTCCCTCTTCCTCTCGGCTCTCACTTTAAGGATTTTACAAAACACACAAAGTGCTCCATGAAGTTAAGGAATTACTGGAGTGCTGATCACATATGGGTGTGCCAAGTCTTAGCACTGGCCCAGGTTTGGGTCCTGGCTTCTCTGAGCATCACATACTCAGGAGGGATGGAAGAGATTATCTCTCTCACCTCTTCAATTCAACCTTACACCACCTTGGCCTTGGCGGCTGGGTTTCCATTCCCTTTCTCCCCAGTAGTAATCCTCTCTCCCTTCCGTCAGGGCCCACCCCCAGCCCAACTTTGGGGTTTTCCCAGTTTCTTATCGTGGTGTATCCAGAGGGCCCTGGACCCTCACCTGCAGGGTGCAGCCAAAAACCCCGATCATGAGCATGGCCACTGTGATATATTCAGCTAGCACATCCCACCAAGGCTTCAGCACTTTGAATGCTGGCTGCTGCTCCGTGAATTGCTTGAATTCAGCCACTGGGATCATTCTGCCTCTGGAGGAATTACAGAATGTCAGAATTGGAAAGGACCCTTGAGATCATTTTGTGAGGAGGAAACAGAAGCCTGGATAAAGGAAGGGACTTACCCAAGATCCTGCAGTGAGTTTTAGTGGCAAAACCAGGGCTAAAACTCAGTGTTTCTGACTAGTGCTCTAATTACTGTATACTGCTACCTGGAAATGGTGCAGCCAGAGAGTAAATCAAGGGGCCCAGAGGGCAGGAAAGGACCAAAGCATTCCTTGGGCCCCCAAGCCATCTACTGTCTTATCCTTCTGCCCCCACGATCTCCCTTCCACAGCCTGATGCCTTTTCAGACCCTTCCACCTCATCAATCCTAATCTTCAATTCCTAACTGTCTCATGTTCTCATTCTACAACCTGAATTCAGCTGAACACTTCCTCTCTCTGTTAGTTTTCCCTCCCCACCCTATCTCTTCCTTTCCTCCCAGAATCCAGGGATCAGAGTAGGCTTTAACCAAACACCACTCCCTCCCTGGGACCCAAGCTGCCGATTCTCCACACAGTCCCTCATCTGACTCCCAGGAAACTCCAGACTCTTAACTCTCCCCAACTAAGGCCACAAACTGCCTCAAGGACTGAAGTAGCTTGGGAAACTCCTGCCTCCCAGACCCTGAATTCCCACTCTGGGCTTACTAGGGGTGGGACTGAAGCTGTATACTTCCACCCCCACCCAATGGGGGCACTCCCCGTGCCACCTCCAACCTAGTGCCACCTCCAACCGGAAAAGCCGGCTAGAGCCTAGCTCTGGTTACCAGGGCCCCAGGGGCAGGGAGTGGAAGAGTTGAATGGGGCGGGTCAGCTGGGCCTTAGTAGGGGGGAGGCTGGACTCCTAGGGGCAGGGGCTCAGGCCCAGCTCAGATAGGAAGTGAACAACAGAAGCCTGAACAATAGGTGGGGTGGAAGAAGACAAGGTTACCTGGCTTAGAAAAGGGAAAGACTAGGGGACAAAGGAATGGGAAGCCTGGATCCTAGCTGAGAAGGGGGAGCGGCTACATTTGGGGAGTGAAGCCAGGATGAAGAGGCAGCCACCCAGGCCCTCCTTGTCTCTCTGTCCTTGGGTGTCCTTGCAGACCAAGCTATTTTTCCTACTTTGTTAAATGAGGGGGTTGGAGTGGACAATTTATTTCTAAGGTCCCTTCCAGCTCTGATATTCTAAGACTATGACTATTATCCTGGGCCCTGGGGAGACACAGGAAGCCAGGCGTGGGGTGTAGTACTGGATCAGGGCCAGACACCACCTACCATGGTATTTGGGCTGGCTCCTTGTCCTCTGAAATTAGCCTCCTTCCTTGCCCCACTCTCTCTCAATCTACCCCTCTCTTTCCCTCCCCCCTCCCAAGTTCTACAAGCCCTAAGGAAGTATGGGAAGCAAGACTACCTGGACATATCCTTGGGTAGAGATCCTGGATTCAGAATCTGAAAAGAGGCCTTGGGGGTGTGACATATAGGAAAAGCTGGGTCAGAGAAGAGGGACCCAAGAAGATGGGAGTCCCATACATACCTCGGAATTTCCTGGTCAAGAGGAGCTAGCCATGGAGGAGGGTTGTCCGGTCCCAGGTGCTCTTCCCTTTAGGGGTAGCACAGAAGAGACTCCAGGAGCCATTCCCAGATCTTTCCTATTACAGAAGCTGCCCCCTAACCCTGGCAATCCCGTCTCTTGATCCTCTGTCTATCCTGAGCCTGTAATCATTACCCCTGCCTCCACCTCCATCATTCTACTCAATCCCCACAATACGGCAACCTAAATCGAAGTTTGGAGAGCCACTGGCAAGCCCTATTTATTAGCTGTGTGACTAGTGCAAATTACTTCCCTCTCTGGGCCTCAGTTTCACTGTCTGTAAATGAGAGAGTCGGACAAGATGTTCTCTAAGGCCCCTTCTACGGCTCTCAAAATACCTTACTGGCCTGTTCCTCCTCTCTCTGTTCTGCCCAGCCCTAGGCCCAGAATTCATTTGGGGAGTTGGAGATATCCAGATTAGGTTTCCACTTTAGACTCCTACCAATTCCCTTTGGAAGGAGCTGACAAAACCCTGCTGATCATCCCTGAGCCCCAGCCAGTATCACTGATGTTTCCAATCTCTCAGCCCTGGCACGTTCTTGTACAGAAACAGTGTCTGAGGATGGTAGGCCAGTGATCATAGCCTTATGTTTAGGTCCTCACAAATCAGTCTGCTCTACCAAACCCCAGCATACACACACACACACACACACACAAGTCTACTTAGTGTGTGCATGATTGTGTGTATTCCAGCAGAGGCAGGTTCAGACCTGTCTTTTTTCACATGGACCCTCCATTCACATACACACATCTACCAGGATATCCTGACTCACACACTGACACACACACATGCTGACACACCCAAAGTTATAGTCAGAGGCTCAATTCCACACACGGTAACCAAATTACACACACACACACACACACACACATACACACAGAAATACTGATATTCACAGTCAGTGTTATTGGCACACACTGGCACATACCTACTCAGACATGCCCACACCCATGCTTGCTTGCAGTACATGAAAACATACAAAGACAGAAACATCTACATGACCATAGACCTGCAGAGCACACACACACATGCAGGCATATTTGTGATAACAGAAAAGTGTGAGTGTATTTGCATAGACATATACTTGGCAGCGCTGATAGAAGACCTGGGGTCAGAGGGTCATGAGGCCTTGGTTCTCTCCCCTCACATTGCCGCTATCCTCATTCTAGCCCTTTTAATCCTCTGCCGGCCATCTCTAGTGACAAACTCTTCAAAGCCCTCCACAATCTGCCTCCCACTTACCTTTCCAACCTCATTTCATAGGAATCCCCTTCACAGTCAAACAGGATGACTGTCAGTTTTCCTGGATGGCTCTCCACGGATCATCCTCCATGATCCACATTTTGCCTCTGAGCATTCATTCACATGAGGCATGCCTGGAATGCCCTCCCTCCTCAGCCTCATGGCTGCCAAATCTTGTCTTCCTTCAAAACTCAATTGAGATGACACCTCCTCCTCCTCCTTAAAAAATCCTTCCTTGATTCTGCCTGGCTCCTCCATCTTCCTTGTACTAGAAATATTTGTGTTCGTATTGTGTCCCTCAAAGTAGAATATAACCTCTTTGAGAGCAAGCACTATATATTTCTCAATATCCTCCAGTCCCTAAGAGTGCTGGCACTTAGTAGGTGCTTCATATATGTTGTACTGTTGTTGTGGTCTTCACCGTAGATCAGCATGGAAATCGTTTGTTAATTATGTCTATCATTGTAAGTCTCACTTTCCACAGCCAACATCAAGTGTTCTCCCATCTTCCACCCCCCAAAAAACTGATGTCAGTTTGTCCTCTTCGAGAACGGAGGATGAACAGCCATAACAACTCCCCCATTCTCTCCACCCCACCCGAAAAACTAAGCCAAATATACCACGTATCAGCTTTGGTCACAAAGCCCTCATTTCTGCTCCAGTTCATACCACGCTAGGGAAAATCTTAGAAACGTACTCAAGAAAGACAAATACTGAGGAAGAATCACAATTTCCATCATGTATCTCAAACGCACAATTGATGAGATGCATAATCACAGGCAGACACAATGTTACTCATGGTGGGTCACTCAGTTACAGGCTCACACAGAAACAGTGGGCTTGCCCAGAGCAAGGGTCACCAGCCCACCAGTCTCTCTTACATACTGACACACACGGTCCTAGTCACAAATACAGGGGGTTACAGGCAAACAGAGGCACAGATGAACAACATCAGACACAAAGTACATTACAGACAGATGGACACAAACACACACACAGTCCCAGACAGAGACCGAAATGCCCAAATGTAGAGTGGCATATAGAATCATAGACACACAGGAATTGTCATTATCTCTGTCTGTCTTTAATTCTAACTTTGTTGTCCCAAACCTATCATTAAGCCCCCATAGACACATGACTGTCTCCACATGCTAGGATGTTGTCTGAAAAGGATTCTGGTGGAAGGGCCCAAGGAGAAGAGACCTCTGAGGACTGAGGTCTCAAGTGATGGGCACCATCTACCCTGTGGGCCACAGTGATTTCAGACACTCCAAGGCAGGCTCCGTACCCTTGACAAAAGCCTGATATGGCATCATCAGGACTTCATTCCTTTGAAAGCATTTAACCCTGCCCAAATGCCAATATGTGGGAGGGTCCCATAGCCATTCATTTCAGTCACTGACTCCTTTGTGGAAGAGGTTCATCTGTTCTTTTCCTAAGATCGGATCCATAATGGGATGGGAGCCCTGGATGTCTGGGGCATAGAGTAGGTAAGTGGGGCAGGAAGACCACAGAAAAGAGAGGCCAGGGGACTCATTCATTTCAATAACCTGCCAATGGTCTCCTGACTAGCCTGCCTTCCACCTTTTATTCTCTTCCCTTACCTCTAGATGGTATTTCCTGCATAAACTACCAGGTATCTTCCTAAAGTCCAGGTCTGACCATGTCCCTGACTGAACTTTCCATAGTTTTCCCCAGCCTAGAAGGGAAAAAGGCACTGCACTTCTCTCTTGAGATGCTGTGCTAACTGGTCCCAACTTACCCTCGTGCAGTCATCTCTCCCTCGGCTCCATGTACCATCCCCTGCTCATTCCTCTGCCTTAACCTTTGCTCTGTCACTCCCCTTCCCAGATGTCCCTCTTTTGTTGTTCTGCAAATCCTCTCCATCTTGGTCTTTCAGTGCTCAGCTCAAGGCTCACCTGTGGGAAGCCTTTCTAGACCACCCCAGCCCCATCTGAGCAGATAGCCCCTACCTGTTCTTTGGCTAGAGAGCTAAGTATCTGCCCTATAATACTGGATTCATTATGGATTAATTATCTTCATCCTTGTGTTAACTCTTTCAGGAGATTGGTAATCCCCAGAAGTCAGACACCCATATATTTGTTAATCAATCAAGTCACAGACTAGTTTTAGCAATAGGATAGTGGAGTGCTCATATGCTAAAGACTGAGGATCTCAAAGCTGACTGGAGGGATAGGAGTCAGAAATCAAGTGACAGGATTTGGGATCTTGAAACTAGAATCTGAAGGTCAGGGGTCCGGATAGGGAAATAATCCATGCATTACAGGGTCTATGGTGACAGAGATCTGGGCTGGGCCCCATAACAGGATCTGTGGTGACAGGGTCTTAGAGTGGAAGAGATCTGGGCTGAGAGGGAATCCAGAATAAGTTTGCCCTCAGTTCTTTTCTCCCTGAATCCCCCACTCAGCTGAGGGGCGCAGCCTCGATAGCACCGACAACTTCCCGGGTGTAGATCTCCCTGTCGGTCTTTCTTTCGCCTCTCCCAGCAGATTCGGTGTTCTGGAGTACACAGCCCCACTGTCCCAGCAGATCTCCCTGTCTGTGGGATAATCCCCAC